TCGATCCGTTCCGACGTTTCCCCGGACATGACAAAATGTTGGCCGGATAAAGTCACCGGATAATTCTCATCGTTCAGTGTTGAAACGTTCAGTGATTTTTCAGTAATTTTGCCCGAACAGGGGCTTAATATTGAATAACGCTGGAGTTCGGTTTGGTTGAATATACTTGTCCTTTCGAGCCAATCAAATCCACTCAAAATTGGATGATCCAATAGCGTCGATTCGACGGGGTCTGGAAATTTGTCCCAAATCGACAATACGAAGTACTTCACAAAAGACCCATTTTTCGCGATCCACTAAAGATTGTATGGCCCAAGTACTGTACAAATATAGCACGGGTATCAGTCTACTCTTTGATATAAAGAACTTTAGGTGCACGTGAATATTGCCACACTTGACAGAGTTTTGATGTGTTCCCATTTTGTAGACTTAAAATCAATATCGTGGGGCCGCCACAGTTTTCTTCATGTGTCTGAACCCAATCATATTGCCTGAATTCTACAGGAACGAAATTGATTAGTATTGTGCATTTCGCGAGACGGTAAATCGGCAATTTTTGCCGTTTTGTGAGCCCTGATCTTTGACTACTATTTGAAGTATTTTCTCCAATCAATTGCAAGCATGGATATTTCGGTAGTTAGATGCTCTCAGAAGCACGGTTGGTTCGAGCAAATTCAGCGCAATTGAGATCGAAGTTGCCTCGTTTTACTACTGTACCCTATTGCCTGGGTTGAGTGACACTGCTCGTGAGTATTTTTTATACCTTTCGAGGTCAACAAGTGGGCAAATTGACCCTCCATGCAGCTTGAAATTCGCAGCTTCGTCCTCATCAACATGAACTCTAGTCAATATCACTATGTACGATGGGATTACTTAAGCGTAGGACCCAATTTGTTGTCAATATCGTTGTCACCATAACCGGATGACCCTATTATGCGGATTATTTGCCGTTTTCACCGTTGGGAAAGCAATAAAGTAAAATACAGTAAACGTCAACATACAGTCTGATTATACCGTCGCACCATTGGGGGTGCCCTTAGGCGGTTCTTTCACCCATTGTAATAGCCAATCAGATTGCAGGAAACCACCACCACCAAGTTATTCATGTGTGGAACTTCAACTACCGTAGTTTACGACTCAACTAGGTGAGCCCGTTGCTCTGCTGCCGGAGTAAATTGTCGGTTGGAGCAAGTTTCTACTTATTTGTCGTCGTAGTTGAGCCTCGCATAGTTTTCAGACATATTCTGTATGTAGTATGAGTTTGTAGTATGCGTTTTGAAAACTCTCATATCTGCGGAAGAACGGGGTTCGGTATTTTGAAGATGGGAATCAGTGAATGTGCTGTGGGGTCCACTGGAAGTAGTAAAGGCTCCGGTAGAAACCTTGCACCTATGCTAAGACTAATTCGCACATCTAAACTCTGTAGAAAGTTGGTGTGCACGATGATTTGCCTTACTGAATACAGCAAGGGTTTCGGACCTGCACAGATTTCAACGTGATAAACAACAAGTCCGTCAACACACTTTGGACGATGGGTTATTTATTACCGCGACATTGTGTGGCACGAAATAACAAATAACATGTCCAGGGACACCTGATGTCCAGGGACACTTGATGTGAAGGTTAATGTGCTTCGTGGAACAGCAAGGGTTTCCCACCTACGCTGCGGTGAAAAAATGATGCAGGCAATCTTCGGGTGCCATTATTGGGTAGATATTGAAATTAGCTTTGGGTTTCCTACATTTTCTGCGGTGGTTGATGATACGATAGGGGAAATACGGTATGGTAGCGTAAGATTCAGAATAGTTTCTTTGCTGCAAAAAGCAGGTTGTGCTCATGACTGTCATGTGAATGGATGTGTGCACGATATTTAGAAAGAATGAATTCCGTGCTATGGAGTATTTAGTTTTCGTCGTTACCAAAAATGGAGCGGTACACGACGTTCTGGGTGTAGATTCCTTCGTATCCGGGGATCTTGCCGTCCCGCACTAACACAGAGATCCCAGCCTTGGTTTTAGCTCTAGACAGTGCAACATACAGTTGTCCATGAGAGAACACCGGGCTTGGCAAGATAAGTCCCACGCGACTTAACGTTTGGTCCTGAGACTTGTTGATGGTCATAGCAAATTCCAACTTCCCTGGAAACTGGCGACGCTTCAGGTTGCCGCCTGCCCTCGTCGACCAAGGTGATGCGCGGTACGAAGACTCGCTTGTTATCAAATGCGCCGCCCATGATAGTTGCCTTGATGCACTTGGTTGACACTTTGACGACCCGCAATCTTGTCCTGTTGCATAGGCCCTGAGAGGGGCAAATATTGCGCAAAAGCATGACTGGACATCCCACCTTGAACTCCAGCTTGTGCTGTGGCATGCCGGATATGACGACAGCTTCAGAATGTGGGATTGGGACTTGTCGTTGAGGTTGGTGACGGGGATTTTGAATCGCGAATGTGCCGTTGTACCACCCATAAGCAGCAAAGCTGCTTGCCCAGACAATGCCACAGCAAGCGCGATGTCCCCTTCGTCGCCACTTTTGCCAACAGGATTTGAGAGACGTACTACTTTCCTGAGCCTCCTTCGCCTTGGAGGAAGTACGCCTGGCCTGATGAATGATCGTATATTTGGGCCAAAACGGTGGTCACAAAGGACCTGTGCTCGTCAGTCATGGTCGCAGCAGTGGCCAACACGTCGTCGAGGGCTGCACACGTGTACGACGTTTCAATGACATAAAGTCGACTTCTTGGATCCTTCAGTAGTTGCCACTCGCCCAAGTCTCGGAATACTTCGAATTCGTGGAGTCGGGTAGTCCAAAAGGCTCATCCGATGTTGTTGGAAGCAGTTGTCGATGCTCTTGAGTGTGTAGAACATCGCATTGCCAAGCATCATGTCTTCACTGAGCAGCTGTGGGAGTGCTTCGTTGCAGCGGCGCAGGTCCCGAAGCCTCTTGTCCATGAAATCTGCTTTGAATTGGTCAAACAGAGCTCGCGTGTTCGGTGGCAGGTAATGCACTAAAATGTTGGTAAACCGTTCGTGCAGCTGTCCGTCCATGCAGTCGCATTGCTGTTTTCGCAGGAACTTGCAGCGGCTTGCGACCACCTTCCTCATGTAATTCACAGGGTTTCGGCGTGGAGGCCGCACTTAAATCGCATCTTGGACGGGATCATGAGGAAGGCACAGTGGATCTTTGCCAAGGTCAATGTCGTCGAGAGCCTCCTCGATGAATTGAACATCCCGATGAATGGGAGTAGATTCTTCCAGTGGTTGAAAAGGATACGGCTCGAACATCGGATGAAGATCGATGTCGTCGAGCACTCCCTCGACGAAATCAATTAAATTATGTAGTGCCTCCGGATCGTCCAATGGCTGAAATGGACGCGGGTTGAGCTCAACGTCCAAAGCAGCCATCTCTCCACGGCTCAGCTCCGGTCGTTCTTGTATGATCGGATGCTCAGCGGACGCAAACTTCCATCAGGAAGTCTTTCACCTGTGGTTGTTCATCAGCTTGACGCATTTGAGATTTCTTCGCACGCTTGGTTTGCCGATACTCCTTCTTCTTCGCAGCTGCCGCCGCCGATTTTGCTTTCGCTATGCGAAGTTGATCCCGACGGTAGCGTTGACGATTCAAAACGGTTTCCTTGTCCTCTCCACGATACGTTGAGTTGCTCACCCACTGCGTTTTCGGACGTTTAGCCGACGTAGTCCCGGACTCCAGCTCCAAGGCCAAACGCTTTGGTGTTTGATGCAACACCATATCCGCCGTGGGTTGCGCTTGTGGTAAGGAACGGTGTTGTGAATACGTTCAACCCCACCCATCCCATACAGTACATAGAAATGTAGGTCTGGATTAGCTGATTGGCTACATCAAGGTCATCCTTGGTTTCGTCCTCCGAATCGCTTGGATACGCTAACTTAATTCGTTGCAACAACTCGCGCTGGGCTTCGCTCCCCGCATCGGGCAGAGATTGTTCACCGTCTGCGGTAGTGTTCCGCAATTCCTGCACTGTCGCGATGATCTGGGGTGGTGCCTTCAACTTCGCATTCTCCTTTGTCGATTTGTTCTTTGCCTTTCCTTTGGCCGACACTATGGTGTGTTCCATAGTCGCTCGTGATTGGGCTATGCCATTCGGCTATTATCGGGGTAGCTTCCATCACATTGGGGGGCTTCCAAAAATACTCTAATGGAATAGTTGTGTCATTGTGTATTTGCGTATTGAAAGTAGTGTTATCTGACTAAATGGAACGTAATATTGCTTGTTAGTGAATTGCAAACGGTCAGATATCACGATGATAGAGGAATGTGAGGAGAGGGAAAATATCTCAGTGGTAGAGCATCGGTTTCTTAACTCAAAGGTCGTGGGTTCGATCCCCGGTTTCCCCGGATTATTTCCGCAATGGTTTATCGGTATAACAAGACGAGGACCGAACTTCGAAGAAGCTCGGGCGAAGCACGAGGTATGGTGCAAGAAAGCTAGAAACGTTTTTCTATTTAACCTATATGTTTTGGGGTAAAACCTACTTGGGATGAGCGTTAAACAGTAATCTGCCAGGTTAAACCTTGGGTGATGATAGGTTAAACTCAATGTACGTACAGATAAAATGTATGGATAACTGGCCCATACAAACGTCAAGACGTATGGGGTGGCCAAAATACGTCCGAGCCCATACGTTTCTGTTGTAGCAAGGCGATCGGTTAAACTAAAATAGCTCTCTCATTTTTTCGTCAATTGTGAATTGGAACCACATGATCTACCGTATACCGCCTGCTTGAGTACCTATGATTTCTCCGGTTGGACCTGTACCGGTTTGGACATTTTCATGGTTCCGGTTGGGCGTGTACCTAATTGTCTCTCATAGAATAGAGCTATCCAATCACCATGCGTTAATTATTTTCATCCAATGAAATATAAGTCCTGTAATGGATTTAGACCAATGCGCATGCCTGAATAATTTTCAAGGTACCGCGTGGAGCTGTACCGGTTTTGATCGGATTTCACTGACATTTTCATAGGTACTGAAGCGGGGTATACAGTATTCGCCTTGCCGAGATCTATCGTTTTTGTGGTTAATTTGCGAGGAAAAAATAATACTGCACATGGTAAAACGCTCTAAAAAGTGCTCAAAATATCGTCGTTTCTAGGCTTCTTGCACCATATGAACCGTTGAGCGAAGTAAAAACCGAAGATTACACACCGCCCCTGGTCGAGCAGGCGCGTTACAATTGGCGAAGCGAGTATCGGCCACCGCCTTCCAGTTCCCATTTTACGCGACGTGTTGATGAATGTATGGCTAAGAATGATGGTTTGATATAGATTTATGTATTAAGATTTTGAGGTTTAAATTGGTTACGTTATGGTACGATTTCTCGCGGTTCAGGTACATCATGTTTGAACTCTTGGCGCGCTCTTTCTCGTAGACGAATCAGAAGTATTTAATCTGCTATGGGGCAGGGTGCAGACACACTTAAATTTTCCCTACAAATATAATGATGAGACATGTACACCCTCCCCAAAGTCGAGCCATTATTGTGGGACGGAGGGAGTAACCCTATTCCTTCACACATGATAACATTGACCCTTAGGTCGTGATTTCTGAAAACACATCATTAAATTCGGCGATTTCTGATCCAAAATGTCCAAGGGCATTTCAAAAGTGTAAATATGGAAATTGGACCATTTGTCGAGCGATCACCATCAGGAAAATCAGATTTTATTGTAAAAACGATGTCATTTGATATTTCATCATAGTAAAAAGCAAAAGACACGTTTTGACCCTTACAAACGCGAGCTTAAAAAGCTACTTTAATGAGAAGAGTAGTTTAGATTTCATTATAAAAACGACGTTATTTGAAACTCCACCATAGTTAAAAACAAAAGACACTTTTTGAGCCTTACAAACGCGAGCTTAAAAAGCTACTTTAATGAGAAGAGTAGTTTAGATAATTGTCGATTACGAATATTGGTGAAATTTCAAATGACGTCGATTTTAAAATGAAATCTGATTTACCTGATGGTGATCGCTCGACAAATGATCCAAATTTCCATGTTTACACTTTTGAAATGCCCTTGGACATTTTGGATCAGAAATCGCCAAATTCAATGATGTGTTTTCAGAAATCACGACCAAAGTGTCAATGTTATCATGTGTGAAGGAAAAGGGTTAGTAGACAACGTTTCAACAAACGGCGACGAGGTTGTGGAAGCGATACAGTGGTTTCGTTTGCAATACAAATCTCAAATCATTTGGTCGTGTAGAGGAACGGCACTCCCACTTAAATGCGATACTTAAACCAAGTAGAAATGCCACTGACCTGCCATGTGTTTGTTTCGAAACGCTTCTTTCACACACTGTACGGTGCGAGTACTGTACACATAAAAGTAACCAGATATATTTCGTCCAGAGCAGTCAGAAAACTCAGTTTTCAACAGGAAAACACAACAGCTAAGACGCAACTATTCTATTCGGTCAATTATTATTGTTGTGTGACATGTGATCGAAGGAATACGAAATTCTCTATCATCATGATATCTCACCCATTGCAATTCACTAACCTGCAATATTACGTCCCATTTAGTCAGATAACACTACTTTCAATACGCAAATACAAATACAATGACACAACTATTCCATTGGTTATATATTGGTGTATAATTAGACCACAATTCTGGCAAGGGGTCATTCGAGAATTGTGTTGCAAGGTAAGTTCATGTCATGCATGGTCTGCTTGGTGTTCATGTCATGCATGTTCTGCTCGATGTTCATGTCCATGCATGTTCTTCTTCGTGTTAGGATAAAATAGCAATGTGAGTGGGTCCAAAGAAACGCGGACTTACGAAAGGCACTGCAGCACACATGGGGAGGCTGTTGCACACCGTGCCTACCCCGACAATAAGTTGCTCACTACGGTTTCCTTAGCAATACTCAAGCAGTGCACTGTAGGTTTTACTGCGTACAAGCGTGTTACAATGTATGGTGCACGTCACCTATAAACTACCAACTTTTCACAAAAAACTTCTGACTTCTATTTCATATTCATTGCTCAAAATTTCAGCAAATTGAGACGTAGAATCGACAGATCTCAATGTGGTCTCAGATTCAAATTTGGTGATGAATTGGTCAGAAATAGATATTTAACCTAGCGGCATTTTACATGGGCGCTTGGATATTTGGCCATAGGGGTGCCACTGAGATGTATCTTGATTTTAGTATGTGACTCTTATCGAAGAGTGGAGGTTTTATTATTTAACGTACATTTAATGTAGTTAAACCCAACAACTGAATACGTTAAATACCGATTTCACGCGTTTTATCACTGCAATGGGAGGTTAAAGGCCGACTTCGGTCCAAATAGCCCGGTGGAATTTGCGTAGTGAACTTCGTGTGAAACGATAAGTGAATTTTTTCCTTTGACCTAACGGTACCTTCGAAAAATCCTTTTCAGGTAGCGAGATTTTCCATTATATCACGTGATGTTTGTGTCGTACTGCGTATAACTTGAATCTGCGTCCGTGGTATCCTTGATCGGATAATCATGTGACAGCCTTTGCAAGCCCAGGGAGGGGCATAAGGATTACCGCCTGGGGGGTGAAGTAGATCCAATTTTAGGATTCGTAAAACTACCACTAACAGCATGCTGATTGCAACATGCTGTTAATCGGGAATTCAAATCAAATGACAAAGGTCTATTCTGGCACTTATTTCGTTTGATTAAGCAAGAACCAATTGAAAGCTAAGGCCACGGCCAAACCAGCGAACGTAAACGTAAATGCGATGGAAGCTACCCCGATGGAGCCGAATGGCACGGGCGAATCAGGTGCGGCTATGGAACGCAACAAAGTTTCGACCAAAGGAAAGGCCAGCAAGAAGGCGCCACCCATGGCGAAGTCAGTAGCGACGGTGTCGACAAACGGGAAGACGAAGTTAAATGCAACGCCCAAGATCACCACAACAGTGTGGCAGTTTCCGAACACTGCTGCAGACGGTGAGCAATCCCTGCCCGATGCGTGGAGCGAAGCCCGCCATGAGTTGTTGCAACGCATTCAATTGGCCTATCCAAGCGTTTCGGAGGAAGAAACCAAGGATCACCCGACGTGGCCAGCCGACTTCTACTGTCCTACATTAGGCAGTATGGGATTGGCGGAGTTGCGGAGTATGCAGACCGCATCGCAGCCCCATTAACTGCCAGTGGATCAAGAGCTGGATTAACCACCCAAGCGTCCGGCTCCCGAGTTTGATGTCAGCACGAACGTCGCCAAGCGTACGAAAAGTGCGTTGAGCAGCAGGATGCATCGGAGCCAAAACAAACAAGCTGTGTTGGATGGGCAAAGGTTATACCGAGAGAAACAGCGCGTCGTGAAATCAAATTTGGCCGCCTCTGCTGCGAAGAAGAAGGAGTATCGGCAAACCAAGCGTGCGAAGAAATCTCAAATGCGTCAAGCTGATGAACAACCACAGGTGAAAGACTTCCTGATGGAGTATGTGAAAGCTGAGCATCCAATCATACAAGAACGACCGGAGCTGAGCCGTGGAGAGATGGCTGATTTGGACGTTGAGCTCAACCCGCGTCCATCTCAACCATTGAACGATTCGGAAGCACTACAAGATGAAATTGATTTCGTCGAGGGGGTGCTCGACGACATCAACCTTCTTCTGACGCTAGAGCTGTATTCTTTTCAACCACTGGAAGACCCTACGGCCATTCATGGTGAGGTTCAATTCATCGAGGAGGCCCTCCACGACATTGACCTTGGCGAAGATCCACCGTGCCTTCCTCATGATCCCGTCCAAGATGCGATTTAAGTGCGGCCTCCACGCCCCAACCCTGTGAATTACGTGGGACGGCAATCGTACGAAATGTTTGAGGAAGGTGGTCACACTGCATGTTCCTGGGAAAACGAAGACGTACCCGCACTACCGAACAAAGTTGACACCCCACGACTACAAGAACCTGCCCTGTTGTTTGAAGGGCAAGGTAAATGTGGATCCTTACGTTTTCCCCCACTCGCCGGAAATGCAAGCGTTCAAAGATCTCTTCAAGCAGCGCAACTTCATCGAGCACATCCGTCAGTACAACGCTCAGTTCAACTTCACTTCCATTGGAACCAACGAGGTCAGGCACAGCGGCAGCGGCCCCAAGACGTATTGTATGTATTCAAGGCCAGCTGACCGACTATTTTCAATAGACGGATGTGTTGTTCGTCACGTCTCGTCACGTCATTCAACACAAATATGTACAGATCCGAAACCCTTGCTGTACTCAACGAAATAAATCATCCTGCACATCAAGTTTCTACAGCATTGATTTTCCTCATGTGGCGCCACACAACACGGTGGTAGTTCGAAAACACTGATACTTGAATGACGAACTCCTTCCGAAGTGTATACGTAAGTACTGTTCACCACATCCAACACAGCTGCAAGATAGGTCGACTGTTCTCTGACCAACATATTACGAGTCAATCTGCGGAGCTATTGGAGTGACCGCGAGATGGCGCCGACTGTGTTCTGACCAACATGTCACGAGATAATTAGCGATGCGATTGAACATACCCACAAGTTGGCACCGACATGTATTCTGACATACACGTTGGGTGTCAAACGGCGGCGCTATTGGATGTTCATGAGAGGTGGAGCTAACTGCTTTCAAGCCAACACGCCACGCGTCAAAGATCACAGGGTTGGTGAGTTTAGATGCACGACTTAGTCTTAGCATAGCTGCAAAGTTTTTACCGCAGCCTATACTACTTTCAGTGGACCACACCGCAAAAGGACTGATTCCCATCTTCTCGCAAAATACCGGACCCCGTTGTACCACAGATACGAGAGTTTTGAAAATGCATACTACAAACAGAAATTCTCTGAAAACTATGCCAGGCTCAACTATGACAACAATAATAAGTAGCAACGACAACGACATATCTTGCTCCAACCGATAATTAACACCGGCGGCAGAGGAACGGGCTACCTAGTAAGAGGTACTGTATTCGGGCATTTCTATTGGCTTACAAAGTGTCAATGTCGTTACCGATAACTGGTGCCCTACGTTAAAGATAAACATTCAGATATTAACGTTACTTCTGAAGTAGAATTTATGCATTTGCTCACACTTGAATTGTTAGCGAACAGAGGAAAATGTGGAGAAATGTAGATAGGCCACCAATAACTTGACCCGTAAATACTTCAATAATTGCTTCATAAAAGAGATATAATTACGTGTCTTGTGGGTTTCTTCCCCATTCAAGAATTTCCAAAAAGCCTTGATTCGCAAACGCGTCCAGCTCGACTGTCAACACAATAGATCACTTCGACACTGCCAAAATGGTTACTCCTTCCTACGAAGTACTACTTACTATGTGTTGTGTCTGCCGGTCCTGAACTGGCAGTGACTCCTTTAGAACTCGATGCACCGGGTTCAAAGGTAAAAGACGACTGACAATGTTAAAGGTGTTAGATCTACTGATTCACAACGCACATTTGCATCGTGTTGACAGATTCTCGACCAATGGGCTTGCAAGGATACTACCTGTCTCTTGCTAAGATACTCCACACCCAACAACTCCCCCATGGTTTACACGACCTCTGGATGCGAGATAGCGAGCACCGTCTTGAGCTTGGCGACGTTGCCGTTCCCGCGGCTCGCTTTGGCCCGACCCACGAGTGGGGCGGGTGGTCGAAGAATGCTACCGCAACTATCGCTGCCACCATCTCCACAAGCGGGGCGGGTTGTGGCTTCAGGCGTCAAACGTTTGACTTTAGCCGCTGTCAGTGTGGCGTTGTCTTGAAGTCGTTTGACCTCGGCGGCCAACACTGTTGTCGGAGCTGGGACTGCTACGGCACGTTCCTAGTTGCTGATGCCCGTGGCGCGGAGTGCGTCGGCCGCCATGGCCGGGAGCACGTTGCTCAGCACACCGCGCACATGGCTCCAGAACTTGGGGCTGTTGAACTTGATCTCCTTGTCATCGAAGTCGTAGCTGTTTCGCACCAGCGCCTTCGCGCCGTCGGGCTTGATATCATGCATGAGCGCCTGTATGACGGCCTGGGGATCGAAGAAATCGATGTCCTCGGCTGCCTCATCCGTGACGATGTCCATGAACCTCGCCTGCCAGTCCGTCATGCGGTCGCTCGTGTGGAGGAGGGTGTTGTCCATCCACAGCTGTTTGAGGCGGGCGGCAACGACAGCCTTGCTCAACGTTGGTATGAGCATCGACGCCTCGGACATCGCCTTCCCATTCCGTCTCGTGGATGTCCTCGATGGGACGATCGAATTGGAACTGTGTAATGATGGCAAGGTGCCGACCAAGAATACAGATTGTCGCACCATTAACGGTCAAGGCCGTCGAAGAAGCCGTAGAGAAAAGTATTTACTTCATGTAGTTTAGTATAGTATACATTTTCGTAGTTAGTAGTTTAAGACGACAATCTAATCACTTTCCAATCTCCTCTGTGAAGCTCGCTACCGTTACATTTGGTAGCACTTCCTGGTTCAGTTCAATTCGGCAGCAAGGACTTACACCGAGGGACATAGCTCGGACGTTGTAAGGTTACTCAATCTAGTTCAGGCAAAGGCTCAGTGGCGACCTTTCATAGCGACTAGTGTCGAGTTAGCGATCGCCTAAGTGTTTCTTTTTCCTCGACAGTACTCTCCTTAGTATCCGGCATCAGGGTCGAT